AGTTTACATTACTGATAGCCAGTACGTCTGAGAAGTTTTCATTTTGCTTTGTTCATATAGGGGATAAGTTTATAAATAATGGAGAAGATGATATAAGATATATTGGAGGTAGAGTAAGAACAACAAGTATAAAAGAAGGGACAAGTTTTGAAGAGTGTAACTAAAACTGGGTATATCGATTGTACTTGTAAAATGACATTTTGTATTAAAGTCGTTAAATGCTATGATAAAAATAGTTGATGAGACTATGCTTACAATTTACGATGCCACTTTTAATAATTCAATGTGGTTGTATTGACAAGTAAATTATGAAGTTAACATCTATGGACTAGTGAACAAATAGTATTACTGTTTTGTATTAAATTCATATATAATCTAATTCCATGCAGCCTATTACTTTATATGAAGGTGTTATTTATTTGAAATTTTCAATTAAATTATGTTTAACAAAGTAACTATGAAAATGACATTAAACAGCACAAAATTTAACAAGTTACAATGGCCTTATTAATACGTCAACGTGTGGATATTAACAACTGATATTAAAAACTTTCAAATAGAGTTGTCATTTATTTAAAATGTTCAATTAAGTTATATGTAATTTAAAATGAAAATATTAACCAAAATTTACAACCAAAATTTATGTTAATTGGATAACAATTTTTCAAAATTTGACAAGTGAGAGTGCCACTATTGACAAGTCATAGTGCCACTGTTGACAAGTCATAGTGTGTTTGTTGACAAGTTTGATAACGCTCAATTCTTTGTGGTGCCTAGAGCAATCCGCTGCAACCTCTGAAGCAGAAAAAAAAGGAGAGACATTCTGTAATAGGTACCGCGGTGCTTGGATGAATCTACCAAGGCATTTGGATGAAATTCTATGGCTTTGATTTCATGGTTAACAAGTCAGAATGCGACCATTGACAAGTCACAATACTACCATTGACAAGTTACAATGCCACCATTGACAAGTCATATTGCTACTGTGGACAAATCAAATGGTAATTACCATTCATTGATTTTTTTTTTAAGTTAACAAATGTCACATTAGTCCAAAGAATATGTCAATATTAAAAGACACTATATAACTTGAAATCACATTTTTTTTTAAACTTATATCTGCAGTTATATTGACAAGTAATAGTGTAGCGGATGACAAGTGACACTATCACCATTAACAAGCAATGGTGTAGTTATTGACAATTCATTTTATAATTTTATATCAGTAATGATATACTTTTAATAATGATTATATAAAATATTATAACCAAAATGTAATATGTCAGAGTAATTGAAAACATCTCATGATGCTAAAACCCATTATATAACTTGAATTCACATTTTAGATAACTTACATCAATAGATTAATTAACAAATCATAATACAAGCAGTGACAAGTCAAAACAAGTTTATTGACAATGCAGGGTGTAATAATTACAACTCAAATAAAAGCAGAGTCTAACACATCAATTTATAGCCAACTTTCATTTACACATTCATATACATGGAACTACACCTATTTCACAACCCATCTAAAAAAAAACCATATGGGTTGCATGTAAACACTAAACGAACTATTAGTATGTATCCATTTATAAAAAAAAAAAATCCATTCACACCCATTTACAAAATATTCCTTTCACATCCACATATAAAAAAGAGGTAATTTCAATATGTTCTCTACTGAGACTTGGACTCTTATTAATATTACACTTCAAATTATCAATCACAATTGAAGAAGCTAAATTTGGCCTTCCCAAGTGAGAAACATGCAAGTTGTCCTGTGCATGATGAATGTGTTCACTTTTATATGCTCTGATGGTTAAAAACACAATATCTTGATGTGCTCCCATCGAGCATGCACCCATATACCATAGACAACTATCAATCTTGCACTTTACAATGATCTTTTGTTAATTATTTTTGATAAATTTGTACAAAAACTTCTGTGATATGTTGTACTTGTATAATTTTATTCTTGCACTACCTCCAATATATCTCATATCATCTTCTCCATCGTTTATAAACTTGTCCCTATATGAACAAATCAAAATAAATGCTTCCCAGACGTACTAGCCATTATTAATGTAAACATGTATCAACAATCATCCGACTGTTATTGACAAGTGAAGCAGCACTACTGACAACTATCGCGGCATCTATTGACATCTTTCACAGCCTACATTGACAACACAATATCCCATTTCGCAGAAAAGGTTTCTACCCACACCAACTTTCATTTTTTTCAGCTTTTCACACTAAACCATGCTAAAACAGAGCAAAGCCATCCACAATGTAACAAAAAACAGAGCACTCATTATCATCCTACCCACTCACAATGAAAACCTAGCTTAAATCACAAACCCGAAGGTCTTAATGTAGCATTTTAAACTCAAAAAATTTGCAAAGAAACAAAAGGAATACATTGCCATAAAAGGAGAGCGTGGATGAACACAGAGATACTAACACCAACAGCTTTGTTTCGACCATAAATAACTTCAATGATGCCCTATTCCTAGCCAATCTTTAATGATTACATGGAAGGTAAACAAATTAAAGGTTCCTTCCTTCTGATGAGGGTTGATTTAGTCTTAGTTTTTGAGTAGAAAGTGAGATAGCAATGTGCAAATAAGAATACGGTTCAAAATTAGGTTTCATTTCAGTAGGGACAACATAGTCTTTTTATGATTTGCCTTATTACAACCAAGTCCTTGGGACTTCTAAGTAGTTACCCGATTTGCAGGGACCTTTTTGCAGTATTTTCTCTTCTGTGGGACCTTAGTGTCATTTTCCCTATATCAATTTTGATAATACGTGGAAAAACATTTATCACAAAAATGCTTTCACCGAACCAACCACAGCAAAGGATTAATGGGATTGATGAAAAATTTTATAGATATTAAGTAATATTTATAATATCATTCCTGCTATACAAACGATATCATTTAGTGCGATAATTTAATTTATAATTTATTTATCTATATTTGAATAATTGTATTTTTCAAATACGATATCTTCTTCACAATTATATGTGTACAGTGTGTGTAAATACATAATTACTATCAAATATAGCTAAATCATCATAAACAATTTTACCTGTAACTGTTATTTTTTAAGTATATATGTATATATTCCGTAGAGTATATTCGCAAGAGAAATTTAATTCTGGCTAGCTCTAATGAAACTAACGTTAAAAAAGTACCTAATTCAACAGCATCCCCACGAACACAGAGATGCTGTCCCACACTGCTGTACGTCCTAATATCTTCCATGTCATCATGCCACGTCATACACCCAGTCCGTGAGCTCTCATTCTCACTCATTTACGCCACACAGGAACAGTCCCTCAAAGGGAAGCAGATCCTCTCAGCGTCCCTCAGCGTCGTTGACCCTATCCGTCCAATTGATCTTGACATTTCAGAAAGAGACACATCATCAAGCTTTTAAAATTGCATCTCCACCGTCCATTGAATCATAATCTTGACCGTCCATTCAATTTCCCAACGAAATTCCCAGCGATCTGAGAAGGAAGTCGGAAATGCACAGCCCTCATCCCCATCCACCGGCGGGCATCGCCTGGCACCGCCATAACTGTTCAACCTTGGACAAGTACCAAGTATTCTGTAAATCACTCAGTCTTGGACACCGTAGGACACTGTCATAGAGTGCCCATCGTTTCTGTTCCCATGGCTTTGAATCAAGTACCAAGCATGAAATTTCAACACTAGTTGTTACATCCCATATGCTGCATAGAACTTGTCAAGCGCAAATATTTCATTTCTCCGAAGCTTAGCCATTCCCAAACAGCTTCGACTCTGTACCTGATTCTAGCAGGGAACAAAATACTGGCTTATGACTGATCTAATCTTGAAGAGAGTCCATAAGAATCACTAAGCTGAGAAAAAGTATTCCCAGGAGGAAATTTGAGGTTTTGCGGCTGTGGAAGTGATTGTTGTATCAATAATTGAAGTCTAGCCTCACCTTCAAAATAATTAAATTGTTGTACAAAATTTGATCTCGACAGGAAATAAAGAAACCATAGTACAAAGTTAGCATAGCGAATCCATCCTGACAAAAACCCCAATAGTACCTATTTATTGGCTATCAAGTTATTGACTTGCAAATATTTGAGATTATAATTGCTCATCTCTTTACAAGAAGCTAAGGAGAAATTTCAGTAATTGCAGAAACTGATATCAATTCTTGGTGGTAAAGTGAAACAGCCCTTTTATGTTTAGTCTGGTTGTGTTCAGTCAAGTGCCCATTTGGCCAGGTGAAGAAGAGAATAGCAATTATTTGTCTCAATTTTTCCATTTGTTTGCTCAAGTAGAAACACTTTTAAATGGATCATAATCTGTTTTTCTACTGCATGAATGAGCAAACGATTAGAGCCTCCGCAAGCACAATGAAACGTAAAAGTATATGTTTAAAAGGAAAATGCTATAAATTTATTCAGAACAGTAACAACTAACAATAATGCAAAAACTTTAGTAGAAAATATAATGTCTGAAAAAGGCATTCTAATAAAAGCAGAAATTTTTCAATATCGCAAAGGAGATCCTTTTGCATTAGAATCGCAATTAGATTGAATGAATATATGCCTAAGCCAAATCATCAAGATCCTAAGCATGTTATTTTTGACCAGCCCCTACGCGATTTTCCACTCTCACGAACCATAGTTGTAGGGTTCCAAAATGCAATGTCAAAGAACCAAAGAAGCTCAATGTTCAATGAAACTACCTGTTAAGGGATATGGTTACTGCAGGTAGTGGTCTGTGAAGAATTCATTAAAGGGAAGCTCGAAGACAGAGGGCTAAGGAGAGAAATTTTCCCGACAAAGGAGAACGGAAGCTCCATTCTGAGAGGGATGGAGATTTAGCAGAAATGAGGAACTGAAGGGACGGTCACGATTATAACAAAACGGACGGTGGATAAGCAATTTTAAAAGTTAGATGACGTGTCTTTTTTCTGATCGCTCAGATCAAATGAACAGACACGATTCAAAGCTTCTGAGGGATACCGAGAAAAATGACGTTGAGAGAAACCGGACCCCCGGTGATTTCACACGTGCCACCTTTACGAACCCTGCTTCGACACGTGGACACGTTCTTCTTCCTCACGTACCCATCCGACCCGTCCCTGAGATACCATTCTCTCAGGTTCTTGGGTTCGAATCCAGGCAGACACACGCACTCGAACTTCTCAGTGTTATACGGGTCATAGTTAATATTTGACCCGCACCGTTGGAAGTTGTCGCAGTCCTCTTTCGGACCATTCCAGATCTCGAACCATCTGTGTTCTTGAGTTTGCCATGTCTTTCGTCTCACGTAACCAGAGTTTTCAAGCACCATTCTTGTCAAGACAAAAGGGTCCTTCACACCACACATTACAGTAACTTCAGTGGCATTGTTGACAAAGATGACACTGAAGATGAAGTTGGGTGTCATCTTGGGCACACCGCTCGATCTTCGACCCATCCAAGATTGGAGCCTCCAGAGTGGATTCTGGTTTTTGCACATGAATAACTGAGGATAACTGGTTGGGTCAATTCTGTAGCTTACATTCCCGGATCCTGGGTCGTCCTGGGATTTCCATGAAATGAGGAAGCAGTTCAAACCGGTCTTACAGTCTAACCCGAGTTTAATGAACGGCATTAAGGTGTCACAAGGATGATCAAAACTCTACCATAGAATTTTCTGTTTTCCTCCATCATTGATTAAAACCAAGTTTCCTGTATCTAGAAGCTTAACGAAGGTATTGATGGAAGATGATGGGAACAATCCATTGGAAGACCAAACCGAGTTGAGGCTTGTGTTGAGAGAAACGACGACGTTTCCGTGTGCGTTGATGGAGAGAGCCCCAAAAGTATCATTAAGAGGATTGTCTTTGTTAGCAACCCATACGACGGTTTGGGTCGAAATTTTGTTGTGCTAAATTCAGACATAGTGGTTTCCGGAACTATTCGTGGGACTGAAGAAGCCGAGTGTGAAGGTTGCTTTGTCGGAGAGCAAAACGTCGCCGTCTCTAAGTGGTTGGCTTGGGGTTATTCTATCAAGAGAGTGACCAGATGCATGAAGGAAGAGAATACGGAATAACAGAGCAGTGAGTACAAAGAGCTCTTTACCCGGAGACGCCGTAGCGGCTCTGACTTCTAAGTTCAGTTGGACTGTTCAGATATTGGAGGCTAACGAGGTTTATTGTAAAGATAAGTAATAATATTGCTGCGTGAGAACGATAATATATAATGGATATATCATGTCGACTTTCTTACGGAGATGTTTGGATAAAACCAAACTATAGTTTGGAGAATAACTTCTAGAAAATAGATTTTGTGAAGAATAAATTTTGTAAAAAAGTGATTCTGATAAAATGAAGGTGTTTGAATAGTTATTATCAGAAACACTTTTTATATGTGCAAATTACTAAAAAGGGCATAAGTTACTATAATAATTATATAAAAGATAGATTTTATAATATATTTGAATTTGAAAAAATAAATTTGTTGATAATATATTTTTTACCAACATAATTAATAATATATAAGAAAATATAATTAATAAATAATTAATATGTGTATATATATTTTAAGAAATGAATCATGATCTTCAACTATTTTGAAAGCTTGTTGAGTTTTTTTTTTTTAATAAATATGGCGTGTGTGAGAAAAAAAGAAACAAAGGGGAGTATAAAGTTCCTAAAAAATATGGCTTGGGGTGAAAAAAAAAATGTTCCTCCCCGTTGATGTATTTAAAAACAGAATTGCATCTCTTATACATTTATTATTTTTAATTAATTTTAACTATTAATTTTAATACTTGGGAGAGTGTCACCCACCTCCTGTTTTGGTTATCAATGGGGAATGCCCGTTGATAGTTTTCATTTATCAATTTAAAAATGTTAATTAATAACCTTGAAGTTTTAAAAAAGAAACTGAAATTGTCAAATTTTCTTTTTTGGCAATGTCCGAAAGCAATGTGTATCGGGGATCCAAAATGTTAAAAAGTTAGAACACGGACGACTGAAGGCTGACACTCTTTTTTTTTTCCCAGAAGTGAAAATCATCTGCTTATGTGGAAACCATGGTTTCTGGGCCAAAACCATGCCCAAAACCATAGTTTTGGATTTTGATTTGGCAATCTGTTTTTCCAAACCATGGTTTGGTGTAATCTGATTAGTTGGGTGAATAGAAGGCAGATACTTTTTGTGACAAGTTGAGGCGTCATGAAACAATATCAATATCAATTTATAGTGTTACCTGCGCCATCTCTGCTACCCCTCAATTTTTTCTTACTTCTCAAATGGTTTTTTTTTATTATTATTATTAGGTTTTACAATAAAAGAGTAAAATTTTGATATCTAATAGGCAAAAAATGATGTTGTTTTTATTTTTTTTATGATTTTTCAAAGCAAACGCACTCTAAAATTGATGTGGTTTGTTTTTAATTTAGATACAGATTGCTTGGAAAATCCTTAAAAAAATTGACAACAATACCATTTTTGGTCCATGGCGTATCAAAATTTCAAGCATTTATGTAGAATCTAATATGAAAAGAACCAAAAAAAAAATCTAGGAATTAGAGAAAAATTGCGGAGCAGCAAACTAACACCTAAGTGCATTTCAATATCAATATATATATACACTGCCTATATTTCTTAATATAACAACTAATTTGATGTAAAATACTATTTTTTAGAAAAAAATTATAATTTAAATATATAAATAAATTAAATAATATTTTATTATTATTTTGAAAAAGTAAAAAAAAAAAAAAAAAACCTCCCTTTACTGACAGTAGAAAGGTGGGGGGTGGTGTAACTAAGAACATTGAAAAGGGGGAAGGAGTAAATGAAGAAAGAAAAAGAAAGGAAGGAACGGAATAAAAGAAGAATGCTGGGAAGGAGTAGTAAATGATGTTGAACAAATAGAGATGTAATTAATGAAGAAAAAAAGGGGGTGAGGGGCGGTGGTAAAAGAGAATAGGATGAGGTATAGATAGGAGAAAATCGAGGAAGAAAATTAAATGTCATGATATTAAATACCTGCAATCCGTTTTCCTTTCATTTTGTGCGAGGAGTAGAGAAAGAGAGGAAGAGGCAGAGAAGAAAAGAGAGAGCAACAAGTTGGGCTGGAGAGTAGGTGATCTGAAGGTTAGGATAAGTTTTGAGAATTGTTTAGGTACTTAAAAATACTTCTTTTTATCATATTTTTTAATGAACATTTTCTATATATTTAGAGCTTTACATTATTAGTTTCATTATAATGTTTAGAGAAAATTTTATCATTTTGGTATATAGTAAAAATAGAGTTTTGACAATATACTTACACTATAAAAGAGGTCTTATATTTAAGATCATAGGCAGTATGACCGTAGAAATTTAAAGATACATGAACATTATTAAAGAATTTTAATCTATTTATATTTGTTCAATGATTTGAGAATTTTAAATTAGGATTTTTGTTGAAAAATTTATTATTCAAAGACATATAGAATTTTTACTAATTAAATTTAAATTAAATCATTTATTTGAGTTATTTAATATATTACTGAAGTTTTAATCTATTTGAATATTGAATAAATTAAAGATCTACAGTTGAAATATTTTTTGAATGCTTGAAAAATGGTAAATTGAGAATTTTAATATAAAATATTTAGATTTTGGGCAAATAACTAGATTTGTGAGAGTTAATGTATTTTTGTTTAGAGGGTAGTCTTAGAATTTTAGAGTAATTTTGGAGTAGTTTTGAGTTTTATATTAATAAATATTTATGTACAATTTTGTAGACTTTTGAGAATTTTGAAATAATCTTTATGTGAATATTTGTAAGCTAAAGAATAGGAGGTAACTCTAAAAATTCTTTTATGTATATGTGAATAATGTCTATGATTATATTGTGGATTTACTAATTTTTATTATACCATATTGAAGTATATGTATATATTATGATTTTTCAAATAAATATTTTAATATGTTACTTTAATTTGTTAAGATTTATTGCTATTAAGTATGATTGACATTTAAATATATTGATAGCTATTAAATTATGATGAGTTGCTATTAAATGGTATAGAAATTTTATTGCTATCTTATTTTAATACTACCTCAAGTTCTTAATATAAGACCCTGTTTGACTTTTATTTTGGTCCTAAATATAAGACCTCAATCCACTTTGTCTCTCATATTTATGTATTTTTTCCCAAAGTAGTCCTTCTAATAATTGTAACTCTAGCCAATATAGCTGATTAGTAAGGATATTTTAGAAAAGACAACACATATTTATTACAAATAACTAACTTAACTTCTTTCCTTAATCTCTTCAAATTAGTTAACTGGTCTTATAATTAGGACCGGAGGTAGTAATTTATTTAAGGACGTACTTCTGATGTAACATTATTTACATATGGCATATGAATTGTTGGGCTAAGGATAGAAGGAGATTTGCATGGATACAAAATTGCCACGTGATATGCCATCACTCGATGAATAGTGAATGACATTTGTCAAAGCCTCTTCTTCTATGTTTTCCTTTGGCCAGGAATTCATTGGAGCTGGGATGTGTGACACCTCCTTATTTTATTTGCAAAGGAGGAGAGCCATAGTCCGAACCCGATCTCTATATCTTTGGTCGGATGTATCTCCAATATCAGTGATCTCGGAATAATTCAGTAAAATTGATTAGTTCCTATTGGACTATGTGTTCGCCTATGGCTTCAATCAACAATATAAAGGTGGATGATGATATAAGAGAGGTCACATATTGTATTATTTTTGGATATGTTGGAAAAATGATATTGGTATGGTGTTAAATCAAAAACGAAATTGAGTTGAATGTATGAAATCGATGATTTTCATACATAAATATATATACACATATAAACGGATTTTATTTATCATATACGATTTGCTTATATATGTTAGAATTTTAGGAGTTACTTACTGAGACATTTGATCTCATCTCTTATATTAATATTTTCAAGTGAAGGATCTAGCAAAAATCAGGGGAAGGCACCAATATAATGGAGTAAGTCGTGAAGGCTTATGTACTCCTCGAGCACATGCTATGTTATATTTTTAATTGCCATGACCATAGGATTTTAATGGTTTATTTTGTCATGTCTGAAAAATATTTTGAAATTGATCTGTTTTGAATGCTAAAAATATGTATGGACTTTTAAATGAAGTATTTTATTGCGTATGGGGATATAATTACATGAGGTGTTACATTTAACATTTAATTTTATTCTAAATATAAGATCTCAATCTACTTTTTTTGTCATATTTTTTTAAGATAGTCCCTATAGGAGTTGCACATGCCACATATTAAAAGTTTCATCTAATCATAGTTTTAGTTAAGACACATGATTGGTAAGGATAGTTTCGAAAAGACAATATATATTTATTATAAATAACTAATTTAATTTATTTTCTTTCTCTACCTAAATTAGTCAATTAACTTTTATATTAAGTGGGGGTGTAGCATATATACTCCTCTAGTCCTTAATATAAGACCTATTTTTTGAGTTAGTTTTAATCCTAAATATAAGACCCATTTATCATATTTATCAATTTTTTCTAAATTACCCCTATGGATACTATCTCAACCATAATCAAGTAGAAGAAGGAGGGGGTATTAAAAAAGACGATTATGGTGTTT